ATAGAAGTCAACAGTTGATGGAACACCTCCAGTGTTTGGCACTAAGGAACATTGCACACGGATCCTTCAATGAGGGTGGACGGGATGACAGCCCTTGCCCTGCAAGTGCAACCTCTATTTTCATACACTCTCCATTTCCTCTCCTTCTACAGTACCAGCGCTTTTGGCAGATCGCACCACATGTAGAGACTCCACTATTCAAAAACTCTGATGATTGGAGACTTATGAAATTATGGTGAATTAACATAAATTACAGTAACTGTTGTGGACCATGTTGTTTCACACCAAATCATCCCCAAATCGCCCCAAACATCTCTCCCGCCCAAACCCGTCCATCCAGTCCTTCTTCACCTCAACGAGTCGCAAAAAGGCGACCGAAACGGAAGGCGTGGAGGCGAGGTCGAAGACTCGTCTGCGCCTGGGAGTGGGTCGAAGTCGGAGTGCTCTCCCTCTGGGCAGCCCAGGCGGCACTCGCGAGCCAAATCGCCTCGGAACGACCGACCGGGTTCTCGCTCCGGGCTCGGTTCGCGTCCGAATCGCTCCGTTCGGAGTACGGCCAGGAGCCCCTATAGTAGCGAACATTGTTCCTAGTAGCGATGCCAGGAGCCCCTAGTAGCGTCCTTTTTAATGCTTTTGAAAGGAAGGACGAACTGAAAGGCTGGAGATGAGTCCTTCTGGAGTGTCATCAAGGTCAAAGTGGTTTATATTGTTTAATGCCTACGTTGGTTGGACACTGTGTTCTTCTTGGAAAGTCCAATCAAGAAACACGAAGCAGAATGGAATGAACACTTCCCAGGAGAACTTCCCAGGAAACATCACCACCCTTCACATTTTGCCCTGCCTTGTTTTGAAAGGCCCTGGACCGAATTGACAACCGACATGAGACCCATTAAGAATAGAATAGAAAAGATCCACGTCGAGTTACAGTTAAATCCGATTCTAAACCTTTTGAAACCACATTTGAAGAACACATGGACTCTTTCTTTCTGACGAAATCCCACTCTGAGACCACATGGCTTCGTGGACGGCCGGATAGAAGCAGATTCTTCCTTTACAGCCGACCATGTCCACTTCCATGGAACCTTTTCGACAGAATAGGACCACTCCCGGCCTCCAGGTTTTCATGCTGAGCGGTTAAGGCCTCCTGGTGCGAGGAAGGCATGACAACACCCTTCTGACCCAAAGAATCTGGAAGAAGCTGACTAACTCTTCCCGCTTAAGGTTTCAGATCACCGTTGAATGATATATTTGCACAGCTCTTGAATAAAATATGCTAAATTTGGGTTTTGACCACCCACCTTTTTCAAATGCCTTGTGTTTTAGGGGCTGATGATGACGAGCAAGACCAATGTCACCCAACCTGAGTCTTAGCCAGTATCATGCCCAGACCACGTGGCTGGACTTCAAATAAGGCTAATCTTTTTACACACGGTTGGGCGGTTGGGTTTGCTTGAACACACACTCTGACATTGGTATTCAGTTACACTCAATTCCCAGGTAAAATGGCGATGGAACGGCAAGGTGGCAGAGTCCGTGAAAAGGTATTGTTTCAACAATGTTTGCAAGCGCACTTGAAGAAACGGACATTCATCGCTGCTGCACGTCGGCTGCATGTCTGCGGTGGGACAAAGGGTTTGGGGTTAGGTAGCATGAAGAACCATGGAATCAAACAAAGCAAATTAGACAGCGTGGTCAAAAGTTCAGGTTGCAGGTACGTCGAAAGAGCGTCCTCTTTCGATATCCTAGTCTGAACCTGGAGCTTCGTTGGCTCACGCCAGGAACAGACCCGTGAGCCCCCTGCTATGGAACTGAACGGTGGTAAAGGTGACCAGTGGAAAAGTGGGGCGAAACCCTTTGTCCAGGGGTGGACACACACAGGTCGCCGGCTTCGGCGCTTTTTTCTCAAAAACTGGTGGAGGGCGTGCTTTGTCAAAACTAATAGTCACCTAAAAAGCCTTAGAAAGACAGACAAAGCAAACAAAACAAAAGCAGACTAAGAGGGCAAGAAAGAAAGATAGGAGTAGTTACGAGGCCCACTTAGTTAAATGAAAGTAGAACGCGAGCGGGACATTCGTCTTAAACCGCCCGGGTAGTTAGCAATAGGCTAGGAGAAACAGAAGGAAAGGCACCAACACACAAGTGTGTTGAGTGCGATTTCCTTCTGTTTCCCAGTAGCGGGTGGGATAGCAACGGAGGCCTGGGGGTAGGGAGGGGAATGCATGATCAATTCGTCCGGCCTGTGAATACTTAGCAGCACATGCATGTGAATACTTAGCCGTCAAGTCAAACAGGCAGAACATGCAGAAAGCCATGTGCAAGACTGATCAAAAAGCCGGTGGAAGAGAGAAAGCTGCCGTGTTTAGGCCCGGCGGCCAATGCATCTGTTGATTCAAAGGGTGTGTCAATGACTTCCAGTGGAAATCCGGTGAGAGGTGGCATGTTGGGTTGGTTGCTTTCCGATGTAAAAAACCGCGCCCCTGTGACGGGGATCACACTCAGCACCCGAGTGGGACGGCTGAGCGAAACACACTCTGACATTGGTATTCAGTTACACTCAATTCCCAGGTAAAATGGCGATGGAACGGCAAGGTGGCAGAGTCCGTGAAAAGGTATTGTTTCAACAATGTTTGCAAGCGCACTTGAAGAAACGGACATTCATCGCTGCTGCACGTCGGCTGCATGTCTGCGGTGGGACAAAGGGTTTGGGGGTAGGTAGCATGAAGAACCATGGAATCAAACAAAGCAAATTAGACAGCGTGGTCAAAAGTTCAGGTTGCAGGTACGTCGAAAGAGCGTCCTCTTTCGATATCCTAGTCTGAACCTGGAGCTTCGTTGGCTCACGCCAGGAACAGACCCGTGAGCCCCCCTGCTATGGAACTGAACGGTGGTAAAGGTGACCAGTGGAAAAGTGGGACGAAACCCTTTGTCCAGGGGTGGACACACACACACAACAAACAGTTTACATGATATTACATGTTATCACTGTCATGAAGGATTTACTGTGGACCTGCACAACACATCTAGTCCGCGGGTGGTCTCTGATCTTCTGCAGGCCCTCGTCCGGCTATGTTTTTCCAAGTTCCAAGTGAGGCTTTGGGAGATGGGGTGGACGCATCTCCTCAAACGGTGGAGTTCAACATTCAACACCAAACCATTAGTTTTTTCCTCCCATAGTTCCCCGCCATACCTCCAAACCTCAAATACCGCACCACACTCCTCCAGCTCTCGCAACTTCGCATCCATGGCGTGCAAGTAAAAATGGGGGTCCAACGGTCCAACGCTTCCGCCGAGGTCTCTCAGCGTCCACGAAGCGGCTGAGCCCCAAACACGACGGCGGTCGGGGCATGGAAGCAGCGGCATCAGCGGCGGCATCATCGGTTGAGACCCGAAGGACGGCAGGTGACCCCGGTGACCCCTATGGATCCACTGCCACCCTGCCCTCTTTTCTGGTGATTGGAGACACGTTTTGATGTAGGTGCCAGGAGGGTCCGGTCGTGCTTTCGTTTCGTTTCGGTGGCAGTGGATCATTTAGGGGATGTTGGTGCCAGGAGGCTCCTTTTTGGGACCTGTGTGATCTCAGGGTCGAGGGGGGCCCCCCGGAAAAACAAAAAGGAACGCTTGGATGGAAACTACAAATCCAGGTGAGATGACTTGTGAGAAATATGTATACCCTTCTGGAGGCCGCCCACACAAAAGAATGTTGTTCCCTTCAACAGCTTTTGTGTCCTGTAATATACAGTTATAAAATACACAGTTTCATCATAGTCATGTTCCATCCGTTGGTGTCGTGGTTTCCCAAGAGTAGCACAACACAACCCTCGCATTATGGGCAATGTAGTGCCCACAACGGAACCCTGTGAATACGTTGTGGAACTCAGAATCTTGAACCTACACGAGGCTGTATAGGGAGGCTGCGCAGGGGTGTGTAGTCGTGGGGCAAGAGTAGAAGACTATCTACAGCTGCGGACCTGTTGTCAATGCTTGAATAGGATATCAAATATCCTCTTACTACATCTGATTTTCCGCGGTATGAATAGTCAAGAGAATCTAGGACCAGGACATCCGCAAAGTCAGCTGTGACTGATCCCCATGTCAAAACATGTAAACATGACGGGCATGATGCGGGTGTTTCCAATTTGTACGTACCTGTGGACTGGATGGATAACTCAAGGCCCTCCCGAGCCTTCTTCCCAAGTAAACCAATCACTACTGACGGACAACAAATGATGGAACTGAACACCACCTCAAATCTGCACCTTGGGGTCACGCAGGGAGGTTCGAACCTCTCGGTGTTCTGGTGTTCCCCAAGCTCACCGTTCCATTCACGGGAGCGCTCGATCCCGAGCGAACATGCGCTTCGCCGGTCCGCAAGAGAGTTGACTTGGAATCAGTGAAGCTCTGATCATCTTGAATCAGTAGCTGTTCCAGAAGTATCCGGAAGTTTTGCTATGGAGAGATAGTAGATAGCAAACAAATGCAAACAAACTGCAAACGTGTGATCACGACACCCTGGTCACCTCAGCTTGCAGGAAATCCCTTTCCAGTGGTTCTGGTGCGTAAACCAACCATGCCCTAAATCTGGACCTGGTGAAATCGCAAAGTCACCGGATTCAAGTTGGTGAAACACATCAACGTCTCCCGATTGGACGTCGAACGTCTCCCGATCGCCATCTCAACCGATCTTCCGATCTTTTTGGGGGGTCCCATCTAGGATGTGCTCTGACCTCGAATTCATCCGTATTAAGGGGTTCCATCTGGAGGTGCTCCCCTGACGAAACGCACACCACCCACAAAAATCGGATGTCCCATCAACGACCTACGTCTAATGTATTGCAAATCTTGCCATATAAAGGTGAGCTTCGCTAAAGTGAAACCTCAGAGTAGATGGCACTAAATTCCTAAGATCTTGCACTTGTACCGACCCCATCAATGGCTCTTCTCAAAGAAGCGCCAGACCCACGACCGCCACGACCTACCCAATCCGACCCCCATCCGACATCCTTCTGGTCGATGACGACCTTCCTCAGCGCAGAAGAGTGAGAAGACGGCCGTGATGGGAAGTGGGAAGAACATCCTTGAAGATGACCCTAAGTCATCATCTAAGAACATCCTATCCTTATATAGCATCTTATAATCCTAGGTTTAAGTTTGGGGAAGTGGGAAGTTGATGACCCTTAGTCATCATTAAATGATGATGATCCGCTTCCACATGATCTGTCCAAAAGCTGCATCCAGCGCATCAAGGCAGGCAAACCTGTCCCTTCCTGTTAGCAGGAGGACTGATACAAGCATGGATGTGACTCAAGAACTAAGACTCTGGAACTAGCAGGCTTTATACATAAGGTAATGTTCTTCATGTGCCAGGTCGGGATTGGAATGTTTCTCTTGGGGCGCTCCATGTTTGAGCCACAGCCAAATGTACAAAGTGAAGCTAGGGACTCATGCACAATTTGCTGACACTTGCAGTAACCATGTCCATCCACAAACTCGGACAAAAAGAACGGCCAAGCCCTCCTACCTCTTCTCCCGATAGACCCTTCGGACCAAGCGTCTGTCGCAAAAGTTTCAACTGCAAATTCAGCGCGGCCTCCTTGCAGTGGAGATCCGAGGTTCATCAGGATGTGAAGCGCAAGGACACGTTGGGCATGTTAACATGATCGCACTTGACACCCTTTGATCATGGGTGAGAATATAGCTTCCAATGACAAACGTACTGTTCTTTGGCCTTGCAAAAAGGCTTGGACTAGTGGACTGGCGTCAACGAAGATGGGCTGCTGTAGTGTGCTTCTTCCGTGCACGTTTGATTGTAGGTAGGTGACAACGGAGGTGAAGTTGTAAACACTCTGTACAGTACATGCTCAAAAAACAACATCGTCGCCATCGCAGAATGACTAAATTTAACATGACTAGACTGCGTTCAGAAGTTCCTCTAAAGACTTCTACCGCCTTCTAGCCTGTTCATTCTCACCTCCCCGCCTTCGAGACCTCCAAGCTGATGTGCACGATTGACTGTACACCTGCACTGCGGTCTGGGAATGGATGGGTCCAAGCCATGGAATGCATGTCCAAGGGGTGAGTTGATACTGGTGAGTTGGCAGCCAGCCATGTTCTCTACCCGAAAGAACATGAGTATCTAGCCTCAATGTAACGTGAAACATGTTTCTTCCACCTGGGATGGCTTAGGTGATCTTCACCTACCTAACATGCAGCAGATTTGGCTATCCATATTCATCCATGTTCTATATACTTGGTTCTTCACCTAAACATGATCACCAGGATGAAAACTGAATCCTCTATCAGTGACCCAGTGCGACAAACGAGTCTATCCTCGCCTGGCATGTCCAGGACAAAGACCACGGGGATCACATCCATTCGCTTGTGTTTCAGCTTCCAAAAGACCTCCGATCCACCCGCGGCTTCTTCGAGGCGTCAACACCCGCAGGTGCGAGAGATCACTTCTCAGGTGCAAGAGACCTTCGGGTAGTGACGGGTGGTGTATGAGTTGTCTCAAGACAAGCCACCGTGAATGCTGGAACTTATATTCGGGTAAACCAGCATCCAGCATGGCATCCGGAACACTCAAAAGCTTGGGCTGTAACTCAACGGCATGAGGTGGCAAGAACAGACATAAACACAAGAGAGGTTGTTCCTCTGTACCTGATGGTGACCATCACTCAGCCGGTCCTATAGGGGAACATTTGGTTGAGAATAACACAAATGGAGCCTTGCAGGCTATTTTCTCCTTTTGCAGGTACTGTTTTTCGAGCACGGTACCGAATTGACTACCACAAGATCTGTAGAACACAGTAACGGCATGACTTGTAATTAATTTGTTAGCTGTGATTATTGGCCACCTGACATGCCTTCCATTCCACCATGGACAAAGGTAGCAATGATCCAATAAAATCCCCTCACAACACCCCGCACCGTCACATCTTCTCCACTTCCTTGCTCCACACGTCGTCCCTATCGCACATCCTCCACACCGTGTCGGGGTCGCTCGTCGCCTCTAAGGGCCATCGCTGAAAGTCGATGGCCTTGTCTCCAGCCAGCCGCAGCTCGTGCTTCCCTCACGTACGCACGGATGGGGGTTGATTGGGTTGATGCTTCTTTAGATGATGAGGTAGATGCTTCTGTGCAGAGGTATATAGGTAACCACTTGTGATACTTATGCTTGGGGGATCTGTCAGGGTCTGGGTGGGTTTCTGGGTGGAAAGACCTGGCTTGGTGGTCCCAAAATACAGATAAACACTGGCAAGTATATGAAGCTTTCGTCAGGTTATGTCAGGATCATTTCCTTACACGGGCTCTCTTGCAGCTGCATCAGCGTGCCTTGGTTGGAGCATGTTGGAGCAACACATATCACATGCATATTATAACAAAATATGCCTTCCATGCAGGTCCATGTAATCACATATTCGTTGAACTCTCATGACTCTCGCGTACTCACGTACATATCAAACTTTGTGGGTTTGCAGTATTCCAATCTACTTTCTGGACTGATCCCTTCTGAAAAGACAAAGACTGAGCGGGTGAGCCTTGTGGATGTTGTGTTCTCGATGCATAAGCAGCTCTTGCCGTACAAAGACCATATATGATATCTAAACTGCAGTTCTTGCTTTGGGGCCTTGGGACCAAGAGGGAAAGGGATTCCTGGTATTTTGAGTATCTGCATCACTTGCCAAAGGCATCCATCACCCCTCCCCGGGGTCTGAACGGAATGTTTAGCACCTTGCCAACAGCCACCACTGAAAGCAGCAGCAACAGCAGTGCATAGCAGAGCAACGATCAACATCAAACAAACAACCACCAACTGCCAAACAACCAGCAACCATCATCACCCAACCAACAAACAACCACCAAGCAACTATAATTAACTAGGTCCCCCAAGAAAACATCCGAAACACTTCTCTGAGACCACTCCAGCTTGCCTGCGGGATAGGAGGCACTCCAGCTTGGAGGTCCCGATGTGTCCTTCAAGGACGGGCCGTCTGGGCCAAACACCGGACCGTCCGATGCGTCGGACACGTTGCGTCGCGTCGTGTTGCGTTGGAACTGGGGCCGTTCATTTGATTAAAGGACGTGTGACAGGTATAATGGTAGGAATTGTGGTATGCTTGACTCATGCCCATGCTTGGCCACACCACTTTGTTCTTTGCATGCATGATAGAACCACTCGATGACAACTGAGTGACTGGACTCTTGAAATGTCTTCAGTGCATGACTAGCACGCGGGCGGTTGTGGCAAGTGAGCACCGCCAAACCCTACAACTTGCACAAGTCAACACAAATGGATCGTCACACTGCCTTTCGCAATGACGGTGTCTACAATTGTGATCCAGTCTCAGATTAGTCAAAGTATGTCAGTGTGTCCTGTCATGTCCTCTTACCCTTAGGGCCTAAGGGTTTCGGGTCAATCTAGGATAAAGGGTTTCAGTGTCAATCAGTCCCCAAACTGTCATGTCATGATCTCCCATGTCTTGATCTGAATCCTTTCGAACCTTTCTTGCTGGTAGAGATGGACCTTAGGAAAACTCAGCATGTTGCTTGCTGCTGGGGCACAGCTAATCTTGAGCATTCCTTCTGGTTATATAATTCAAACTCCAGCTACTACTCCAGCTAAGGTGCTGCTGCTTCGTATCTCAGCACACCGGAGGAGGATGTCCTGACATCGCATGAAACAAAAGAACAACAACTCCAAGCTGGTTGGGTGAAACATTGTAAAACATGGTGAAACCGAAACACTCCAAGCAAGGATGTGATCTCATGAAATGGGTTCGGCTCTGCAAAACGGCTTTCCCGAAAAACTGATGGATGATGATGGATTATGGATGCACAATCCAGGTCTGAGTCTTATGTCTCTTATCTCTTGAGCTACAACCACATCTCTGCATGAACAGTGGAAACCCATTCCGTGACATGCGGTCCATCCACCCTTCTCCAACAAAATCTAAAGAGACAAGTGAAGGCAACCCTAGCGTTATCAAGCATATCAAATTCAAAAGCCTGGCCCAAGAATTCCGCTCCTCTTCAACCCATCCAGCAAAAGACTAATATATACCATATTAATTATACCATTATATATATATATATATACCATCCACCCCTTATCCGGTGCCCCTCATCTCACATCATCAAAACCCACCCAGCACAAAAAGGGAAAAAACAACACTAGACATCTCCGCCCACCGCATCCCTCTCCGCGCCCCCCAGCCCCGCGCCAACCGCACCTCTCACGGCAGTGGAAGTGCGCCGACAAGGTACACGGCCCCTCGGCCGTGAAGGTCCCGTGGATCTCCCAGAGGTGACGACTGGGGCCCTGGCGGTTCGGACGCGGTGTACGCAGTGGACGTCGGTGGACGTCGGCATGGACGACCGGTGGATCGGTGAAACCGAGACATGCCGTGAAACCGGGGCATTCATTCGGCATGGACTCATAGAATCTAGAACCTCATCGATAGGTTTGGTTGCTTGAAGAATGGATACAAGGGAGCCTCGGCCGAACTTCCTGCTTGTCGGCATAGCAGAAGTCTGAACCTTGGAATATCAAGCAGCTTCCCCCCGAAAAAAGGAATCGTGGCACGGGCTAGTATCCCTATCTACCTGTGTGTACAAAATCCTTACATGGCTCAACGCAGATGAATTGGTGCACTCATTGATGACCCTTGTTGGGACCATGATTCCTTGGACTCTCGGCATTCACCGGGTTCGCCATGCACCGTTCGTCCCGGCCTTCTGGAGTTGGAAGGAATGCGGAAGCCATGCGAGTTGCACCTTGACCTGCCCAAATGTCTTGGTTTGAACATGGTCCAAATATCATCCCACCTTCAAACAAACCAGGTTTGGTGGGGAAACAGGAGACTGAATGAGAATGATGACCGATCTGTTTGCCCCACCAAATGCTCTGGGAGGCGCAAACGCAAGGATATGATATTCTTCGCCCTTGGCCTAGTTTGCTTGTGCTGCAGATTCCAACAATCATCATTAGTTGCTCCGATCATCCCAGTCCCCCATTCAAACCTGAACCCAGCGCTTCGAGGGCGAGAGGTGGCAGGCCATTTTATGGGGACACATGACATGGAAAAAACAATCTTCAACTGCGCTTTTCCGCGTCGCCCACCGGAGGGATGCCATCAATTGTTGGAAGCCTGATCCTGTCCCCAGCACTGACGCTTGGGGAGTACTCGGAGTACCCGGCAAGCTGCTGAGACCATTGCATTGCATCCGTCTACATGCATTGCAGCTGGAGGCCATTGCTATTAGGTTGGAGGCCATGGCTATTGGGAAGTATCCAACCTTTTGGCCAAGGAAAAGTGTGGAACAAAGAATTCTCCTCCTCAACCCCCCATGATTCTCCTACTATGTGTCCTCATGATCATCCAGTCTAAAACTAGCTCTGCTTTACTAGCTCCCAGTCGTCAAGGAACTTGGTTTGCTTAAGGAACCAGGAAAAAATAAACAATATTATCTAGAAGAGTATTTACATATATTTACCAATAGGGACCATAGGGAAAAAATAAAACCACCTTAAGCAAAACCAATCAAAACCAGGTTTGGTGGTATCACTTTGGGTGAAACCTGCCTCACTCTCCATCCTCCCCACCTAATAACCTATAGTCTCCTTCCACTGTGCCTTCCCCTCACCTCCAAACGACCTCTCAATCCCCACATCATCCACATCTAAGTCACAGCTAAGTCTTCCATCTTCAACGTGTTCCTCATCACTGCAATCCTCCCACCACTCACCACTCTCTTCCCACTCTTCCCACTGCAATCCCATCCTCACCTGCCCCGTCTCGCACTTCTGCGCCAAGCGCGCCGCCGTGTTGGCCGCCGCCAGGTACCCTGCGGGACGGTCCTGGACACGGCCACCCGAGCCCTGAAGGCTCACCACCTGCCGAAGCGGACGCCGGGGACAAACCGGGCGGATGGAGTGAAGGAAATGGACAAGAATGTGGACTTCTTCATAATAACTGTTAGTGAGTGTTTGTTGAGGATGTCTAGTCTATTGATTGCTTGGCTGTTTCGGTCGAGCAACATATTGAATATTGGAAAGCGCCCGTGTCAAAATCGGCCACGAGACTGAGATGCCAAAGCCGAGCACCTATGAGGGGCATGGGGCTAGGGTCTGAAATGCATTGTTCCAATGATGTGTTTCAGGAGAGAGATTTTGCCCATTGTTGAGCCAATGACTCTACTAGTGCTCACCGTGACCATAGCAACCCCAGTCACCTCCCGGAAGTCGAACCTGTATTCAACATACTCCATTCTTCGGCAGGTCAAAGGCTCAAAGGCACTGTCAATGCTTGGTAGGTGATTATTCAGTTGTTCGTCACCGTGGAGAGGATCTTCCAGTAAACTTTAAACCAGACTTAACGATCTGAAAAGAAGTCATTTCCCCCCAAACCCATCAAACAAACATAAAACAAATAGACTTGTCCATTACATCTCCCCACCAAAGCTCCCCTTCTGTGACTGGTGCCTCTTGATGTGGCAGCGGTAAATCTGGTGCGGTCCTGGAGGAGTGGCCACCCATCCTGCACACCACGAGCAACAGTGCCTCGTTGGTAGAGCTAGGGCGAAATCTGAACGAAAGAGGTTGAACTAACACAACCAGTAAGCAAATGTACCTTTCTGGACCACAAAGCACGGTTCTTTTCAATTTGCCTTCGCATTGGATAATGGATGTGTGATTCAGATTTGAAGGTTATGCTTGCAGTCAACATGTGTGTACTGTATCATGTCATACACCAGTACCGTGTGTATATATGTTTTTCATTGTTATATGGCTAATAGTTATGTAGTGTTCTGCATACAATTGTAACTACAATCTCAAACTGGCTACCAATAAGTACAACGAAGTCAATGCTGCTGATATAGTTCCAAGTAATCACATAAACAGTTTTCTCTGGATTAAATACTACCCATAACCTTTGGACATACTTGATCCTTGCAGGACTCTTGCAAAGAATCATCGTCGTGAAGACGGTATTTGAATGTATTCTAGGTATGGTCTTGTTGCGTTGCTGCAACAGTCTCAATAGTTCTTCAACCAACAACGACTACACACATAAACACCGGTATCTATTGGAACACGTTGACATCAGAGAAGCGCCCACGTCCCAGGGACCCTGCAAATCGATAGTGGGATTCGCTGGCCACAGCGTTAGGTCTCCTGCAAATGTATGATCACGGAGCTGGAAAACGCGTGGGCCTTTGGCTTCCGAACATTAGCAGTGCCAAGGCTCTTCGATGTGCTTTTCATGTTTGTTTCGGTATGACTGGCTGATAGTCTGAAACTCAAATTACCTGAAATCCAAAACAAGACCCTGAGTAGAGTATTGCAAGGAATGCTGTTGCGTGTCAGGCATATATTATATCTTTACGGTAGAACCAAGGAATGTCAAACCAGTCTACAATGAGACTTGGTTACTACATTGAGCAGCTTGGCAAAAGGGGCTGCGAAGACCGCCGCACCTCTTTGACACCGACCACCATGACCCCCGGCGCCACGGTGGGTTTCTCACAACTCTACAGGTGGAGGGACCTACAATTCGCTACCGGTGCTACCAGTGTCTTGTCGAGTCATTGACTCAAACCACTAATGACATTGTTTGAGTTTGAGTTTGAGTCACTGTTTGAGTCTGTTGGTCTACATAATGTTCAAACTCAAACCACAGAAATCAGAGGCTATAGGTGAATGAAGCTCTGAGCAAACACATGCTGAAACCAACAGACATTTTGCGTACCATTCCTCTGTTCTTGATTGTTCCTGTCGTCCATAGTCCTCCTGCCTTCCCTCCCCCGCTTCATCCTCCGTCCTTATGTTCATGTTTATGTTCTCTTACATCGTTCCCATCTCCTTCTTCCGTTGACTCTTCGCATGTAACAATCTTTGTGTGTTTCCCTTGTTACTCCATAAATGACACGACAAACAACTCACATTGGAAACGCCCAGCTTCAACCAAAATACCTGCCGATGATAAACCGCAAACTTCACCGATGCCAAAACTTTCATTCTTCGATATGCCGTAAAGGTAACAACAATATAAAACAATGTAACAATTTGGAATGTGGGAGGGTATTTAGCAAGTGATCTTTTTGCATCCCTTTGTCCAGGTTTGAAATGATTGCAACTGTTTGTGATGCAGTGAAAGCAGAGCGGGGGGTCGAATGCTGATTAATTAGTATTGCATAATCTTGCCTTCATACTCTCCAACACTAGTCTGTCAATGATCTTCAGGTGAAAAGCATTTCTTACAAGTCGCCAAAACGAGCGGTTCGTAGACGACCCCATCCAAAAGCGACGCATCAATCTTAAAGACAGGTATATTCCATTTGGCACACGACTTCCCCCAAAAATAGACCCTGAACGCTCCAAAACGAGCGTTTCGCCCAAGACAGCCTCAAAAAGTGAAGTGGAGAGTGGAGAGTCTCGTCAGAGCGCACACATTAACATCATGCAGCGCTGCCAAGACGTTTCATAATCCAACCACCTCCAAACATACCCTTCTGACACGCCCGGCGATGTTCCACAGTTCCACAAGACCACCGCCGCTGCAAACACCAATCCCAGCTGTACATGCACAGCCAATCCTACGTCGCACTTGGAAGTTACATGTCTACACTATTTCACACGAATCTGACACATCATGCATCCATCCAAGACCTCCAAAGGTTTCCAATGGGAAGCTATTCAGAGATCATGCACTCCCTCGACAACGGTTGCAAACAGTTGCGAACAACTGCGCACCGTCACGCGAACACAGCTCTACCCCCAGACCCTCAATAAAACAAGCCAGCAGGTGTCAGTCTGATCGCGCGCAAGGCCGAATCAAACTCCGGGCAATGAAAACGTTCACTATGGCAATATGAAAACATTCTGGCCACTTCCAGCAGCACCATCGGACCATCGTTTAGGACATTCCGCGAAAAAATGCGAAAAGGAATGACAAGGACATTGTGTTCCATTCTCGCGTCTGCCCCAGCGTCGACTTTTGCCTTACCTTTTCACCACCTCAGGTAAGTGGCATGTGGTTTTGCTCAACCTGAGCTGAATGTCTTTTCAACATCAAACACATTCACAATGACAGCACTGATTCCATGTCATGGGCAAATTGATTCCATTCAATGCCTTCGACATCGTGCCTTGCATTCCAACATGATTTTGAGAACCCGCGGTTTTGCAACCCCCCCTGACCAAAAAGTCAGAGATGCCTATAGTTTCAGAGATCCAATTCGCTCTTCGGCATGGGGATTTCATCCATCCCGCATGCAGCGGTTTCTGCGGACCCAGGTGCTGTTTCTGCAAACGCTCTCTGCGTTAGACGACCGGAACTCCGGATGTCTGAGGTGTGAGACGAAGAAAACATGCGCTATGAGTGTGTGAAACGACAAGGAGACGCGCCGAGTTATGAAGTGAAACCATGAAACCGGAGTTTCTTTGAGACATGAAACATCATGAGACAAAGTGCCAATCAGGAGTTCACGTTAACAAAGTGGCAATCAGTTAACATTACCATATTTTCTTTTGAGACTGTCACTAAGGTTGTTTGTTGTTTGTAAATGTGTTTAATGATGTTTCCAGCATCACCGATCGCCCGGCTGCCTGAGAGAAGCGTCGTCAACGTGAGGCTGCAGGCTGCAGACCTCGGAACACAAGCACAGAGAGGAAGTAGCAGCTAGCAAAAGTCATGCCTCAATTGACTCAATTGGATCAAAAAATGAAGACATCATGCAGCAAACCCTGTCATATCGTGTCATCCTACACAGAATGGGAAGAACGCCCATCGCAGTGCGCCGTTTTTCTTCGGCACCTCTCTTCTTGCACGCCAGTGCTCCACGGATGTCTTGTGACCATTACAAGTGTCCGTGCTGCACCAACAGCTTATTGACACACTCAACATGAGACAACTCTGGGTCCATCTCTACAAGCCGGGCTCTCAATTCTTTTCTTTCATCAAGGTAGGTTGTACTCTGCAACAAGAATTTGTGGGCCTGGAGCTGCCACTGTGGATACTTCTCACACATTTCGAGCTCCTCTTGAAGGTCAGCCACATCAGCCCCCCACTCAAAGTCTCGGATTCTCAGCATGTTGAAGAAAGGCGGCTGCATTCGGAATGCCAGCGTGTAACCAAGGTAAAAGATTCCCATTCCGTGAAATGACCATATCCAGCTCTCCTCAAGATAATCCAGTGGGCCAAGCACCTTGCCCCAAAGAACGGGCCAAATACGGAGTGTTGAACAACAAAGAGCAACGCAGAAAAGAGAGGCGTCGCTAAAAAGTATTAGTGCCAGCTTTAGATAGCATTGCGGTCTTTCACCCTGCTCCACCAGTCTGGCCACATACGGGTACTTATTTTTGACGACCACAGGCACTATGCCAAGGGGAGATAGAGCTAGGGTGAAGGTGGCTAGCTTCACCAAACCCATCAAGCCCACAGACCATTCCAACTCCAGTGACAATTGCAAAAGCCTGCGAAACAATGGACCCATTGTAATTGGGCCCACGATGACCATCAGTGACAATACCCAGAGTTGTGTCAAATGCCCCCGTAAGAGTTGGGACAAGCTCAGCATCTCACCAAAATGCAGTTGCGGTGGGTCAGCTACTGGTTGGTCTCTGTCACCGTGCAAACCAACCGTCAGCAGAGACCCGGACGGGTGTCCGGGCATGGTACTCTTCACCACTCTGAACGGAACGTCGTATGTGATAGCGTACAAATAGTCGCCATGCACGATTGACAGCATAAGGTTTCCAAGCTTGCTGTGAGTCACTAGAAGGAGGAGGAATGGCGGCAGCATAATCACAAGAACATTCACTGCATCCAACATGTAGTAGCAAGTACCCTCAGAGCTCTTGGAAACAAAAACTCCAACTGCACCTGCAGCCCAAACAATTCCAGCGCAGCATGCTATAGCCTGGAAGCACCAGGACGCTATTCCTATCTTGAGGGTAAGTCTTTCATGCATGGTTGCTGACAACAAAGCCCAGTCGTGCAGAGTTTTGAGGAGACACCACATGATGACACCTGTAAGGTAAACCCAGCGCGAACAACCCTCTGCCAAGTGATTGTGAATCCGCGCGGGCTTGCCCTGACAAAAGTCTTGCGTGACACTCCCTGAACTCGGAAATGCCTCCTTCTTTGTCACAGCAGCACTCAGTACAGCAGGAATACACGAGTAGGCAAAGGGGGCAATAGTAGAGGGCGAAATCGAGGGGGGAACGGCTTGAACCTTGCCTCCGTTCCGAATGGCCACGTAATGTGGCAGCCAGTGTGGCAGCCAAGAGCTCCAATGAATCTGCTGCTTGATGGTGCCATGACTCTGCTCGATGGTCCAACCCGTCGTTGCAGGTAGATCGGCAACCCCAAAGTACCGGATGAAGGTGCATGCTGCCTCATCAGAGCAAGGGACAAAATCAGAATTGTCCATCTTCCGAGTAATTACAACCACAAATGGGTATGCGCCAAGAAGAGCAATCGCCAAGCACTGTATGTACACAAAGATGCAGCTGAAGCTGCAGCTCCTGCTGCTGCTGCTGCTGCTGCCTGCTTGTGGCCGTGACATCAATGAAGGTAAGCAATCGGAGTGGACTATCAGGAACTCAAGAAACTGGGTGAGTCTTCACCAACTGGGTTTGAGCCAAAATATGACATGAGGTGCACTATGTGCAGGACATTTATGGAAATATAATATGAATACCTGCATTGCGAGGATTCCACTGCCAGCCGATTTGGGACTCGTTCAGAGGGAGACAGGCCATCATCCTGGGCCCCGGCTGTGTGCAGGAAGCGCAGGCCCAAAAGCAAATGTCGCATCATCCATTCTCAGTGGCCACTTCGCAGAATCGTGCCAAATCCCGGTCAAACTTAAGCCTCATCCAACCGAAATGCATTTTTCGGGGTCTGAGGGCGGCCTAGCAATAAATGCGCAGTGTGTGCAATAAGATTGCTTTCCATGCGCTCTAAGAAGAGAATCTTACCAACACTCTCCCGGTAGCGCTTCACAGTTGAACTGACGGTGCAAGCAATATCTTTGTGACTTCAAAAAGTTGAAGAACATTGGACTGAGCGTCCCTTAGTCACTAGTCACTGCAAGACCTTGAGTACAGTGTTGCTAGAAATGTTTGTCACTGTTGCTACTTGAGCAGCTTGGCAAAAGAGGCTGGGCGGACAACAGGTCTTTGACTCGAATCACGCCGGGACAAAGGTCAATCGATCATCACACGTGCATCGTGCACCTTCAAGTTGTGGCGCTGGATGATGCTGTCGCTCATGACTAGCTCATGACTCATATCATATCAGGTAATTAATTATACGTGATGAAATATGAACTGCTGGGGGCCGCTGGAGGCCTATGATCAGTCGCTACCAGTGCCCTGCTGACCTACCCGACCGCCCAGGTTGACCGACCATACAAGTCACAGTTGAGCACAAAGCTGCTGACTTGTGCCAATAATTTGTACGAGCAAGCTTGGTTGTTAATGTCTTTCCTGGCCACGGATTGGTCACCTCTGCTGTGTGACATCACGTAACATCTAATCTAAACAAAGGTGACATATATGAGCCAAGTTTCCGGGTGGCCGTCTTTTTCGATGTGAACCACAAAAGGCAAGGGTTCTTTGACCGATCAAAGTGTAGCTTCTCAGAGTCTTAGTTACTAGTTCCCACCAATCCTACACAGCAGGTCGGCCATTGCTAGCTGGGTACCCAAGCCTTGTGCGCTTTTTCTCACGCAGCCGTCGTCTTCCGGCTAGCCAGAGAAGTCTGCCACTCGGCCGAGGCTCTCGCGTAAATCTTTCCTCGGTTTGGATGGCCATCGAAATGCCCAGCGGGTCGGGGACATCGAAACGTGCAAAAGCAGCGAGACCGGTGGAAGACAATGGCCCGGGGACTTCTACCAGTGAGGGTAATGCCTTAGTTCATCCGGTAAAGCAGGTCTTTCTGATACAGCACCACTACATCAAGAACCTGATCACAAGCCGGTGGCAAAGAAATCCAGGTCGAACTGGCCACTGGTTGCCCCAAACATGTTGTTGCCTCCTTGGGCTGAGCCGGGAAGTAGTTCTAGGAGCTCAGGGAAGGATTCGGATTTCCCCTCCATAACTGGCGGCCCTTGGCCAACCGGGTTAGTGAATTTCTCGCCTTGGCCCGGGCCTTGCCTTCACCCAAAAGAAAGAACACAAACAACATGCTAACATGATAAAATGAAATAGTATGTTTGTTTTCTTTCTGAACCCAAAGGAATAACTTATATAACTACTGTGCTTTATGTACAGGTGGAGCACACAATGAGTTCCTACAGGTCCTGCAGCATGATGCAGCATGTATATAGACGTCCACAGTACAGGGGTTCATTCGTACGACAATAACCGCTCAAACGTGATCTGCCCTCGCAACCCACCTGAGATCCCGAGCAACAGCGTATTCTCGCCAAAGTTCTGGCGAGACCGGTGGACAGAAATGGTTAGTCACGGTTAGTCATTGGTTACTGAAAGACCCATGTGGGCAGGGTATGCAATCATCATCAGAATGGTGAGAATGGTGGTTTTGCCATTTTTTGACCAGGCAGGACACTTGAGGAATAGTCGTCAAACCGTCTCGAATCTTGTGTGCAGCCCTAAATATGGACACATGGCCATATCAACATTGAAACGTCCATTGTCAAACATTTCTCCAGCTCTACATGCACCCGGTTCACGCCACACAGCTCTATACAGCTCGCCACTTTTAAAGCAAAAGCTGAGTCCCCACGGCCAACCTTCCATGAGGGCGCAAAACAACGACATGACTTGACGCGACTTTCAGCCGCGTCGAATCCGATCCAACTCCAATCTGCCAACGTGGCACTGATCATCGTTCAATTCATGCACAACAGCGCCATGTCATCCGACGTATGAACGTTCCGTGCCGTGAGGCAGTGGGCGAGCTGTCCCACTTCTCACCAAACCTATTTCACCGGAACTATCGTCATTGAACGATCACCATCTTGTCACGCTCAAAGCTCAAGGCGAAAGGACGGCTGGCACTCCTGCGATTTTCCGGGAGAGCCAGGAAATGAGGGTGAATGCTGAGGACTTTAATTGATCTTGATGTGTCCTTAACCAAACTTGTGTGATTTGGCGATTCGATCAAAACATCCATGTGCGAAAGTTGAAGATACCCTTCTTTTGTCGAAAGCATCCAAAAGCTGCATGGGTTGGAGCGCATATCCGGCTAAATTGTAGCAAAACAGCTGTTGAATGTGACTGTTCGAAACACAAAACGGACAATTGGACTCCTCTCTCGAAGAACCACAAGAAGAGCCAAATGTGTTGCACGGGGCCTGCTGTTGTCTTTTAATACCATCCTCCTCCCTCTGATCGCAAGGCTTCGCATCTCCCCCCTCCCGTTCTCCCATGCATCTGGCGACTGCCGGCAATGGGAATGGTAGGCGCCCAGGAAGATGGACAAGGCGGGCAAAACGAAGATGAAGACCTCCAGGACCTGACCCCATTGATGTAACGGGCAGGTGGAATACGCTTATTATATATACATATCATATACCTAGACCCCGCAAAAGACGTATTTGTTTCTGGTGAGGGCAATTTTCAGGCGAAGCTCAAAAAACCCACACAACAAACAGTTTTGGTGTCGCTTTTTGTTACTTCTGCATTGTTTTTTGTCACTTCTGCGTCATTTTGGCGTCATGTTTTCTATCGCGAATTTGCTGCATGTTTCTGCGTCATGTTTTCTGGCGAGACGGAAAAAAAGACATCGTTTCAGGGTCCAGGTATCTACTGTATATACATAATAATACATAATACTTATGAGATTGAGGATGATGAACGGGCATGCCCTTGAGTTTCTTCTGTTTCTTCGTGCCCTTGAGTTGGCCCAACACTTTGTGATTTTATCTCCTGACAAGATGATGGCTCCAATACTTCAAGCATTTGACTCACTCTCACGATGAACTCCAATCATCGCCTCCGAGTCGAGCCACGGACCGACCATCGCCCACCCTCCGACGCTCCCACGCTCGCACCTTGGCCCGGAGGTGGTGTTGCGGATACTTCGTGGGGTTGTGGCGCACCCGATAATCACTCAGAAGCCCTGCCTGTGCTGGTGGACGTGCCCAACGTGCGCTTGCAGAAGTCCACAGGGGACGAAGAGGAACACACTGTGTGATAACGGTGTTCTGTGGTTGAGAAGTAGACATCTGATTTTTCAGCAAGGAAACACAATCACATGAAATCACATGGCACCTTCTCTTCCTCCTCGCAAATGTACCAGCCACCATCTGTATATGTGCCATCGTCGTTGACAGCATTTGACAACTGATACCTCAAAAGGCAAGGCGAAACAAAGTGGCAAACAATCGAATTATGCCCACTACAGTCAGTCACTAAGCTGAATGCTTTCTGCAACTTCCCATGACCTGTTCTATACATATAGTTTTAATATAGTTATATAGTACATTATTATAAAATATTAATCAATGATCACCTCACAAAACACAGCAGAATTTGCCTGGTTCTTCGCGTCCTACGCATGACAAGGAGACCTAATTAAGTCTATCATGTCTGATAGAGCGGATCCAGCTTCAACGCCCACTTCAAAAAGAAAGATGTGGTCTGACATGGACCAGACTGCCCCTAACATAGACATAGACCCACATGCATCATGCAACAACATAGGCACTCAATCCAACACACTGCGCCATAGCCATTTGTGATCAAAGCTGCTCTGGGTACAAGTACTTAATCTCTCCGTAGCCCTCAGGCAGGCCCTCCAAGCTGACTCCGCTGACTCTCCAACAACACCGACGATAACACCGATTTGTAAAAGTACGGGTTTGATCGGGGCTCCCGTCTCTGCCTGTACTATGGTAAGCACTATGGAGAACTTTGACACCATGAATTGTCCAAATCTTTTCTGCTTTTCCCTTCTTCAACGATCCATGCGGGTGTGTTTTATGTCAACGTAAACTTCAAACATACGTTCAATATCTTTCAATGTATGTAAAATGTACACCAGCAAGTTCAGCAGGAACCAATGAGATATGGTGTCATTCGGGGTACCCATGGAATGTTTACCCAACATGCAAACCACAAATGAAGTTTGCATCCAAGCTCCCATGAAGGAACTCGCTTCGACAATGTTGCCAATCAGTGAATCACCAACCAGGAAAGGACACACACGAAAATTTGCCGTGGACAAATCTGGACAGCGCAAATATGCACATATATGCACATATCGTGATCAGCAACTGCTCCTTGATCAAGAGATTCGCCATTCGATTGACCAAAGGATCATTGAACACGCCGCCCACCTGGCAGTCGAAAACCCCAACGAGCACAAACGGAGACAGTCAAGTCTTCGATGCGAAAACACCGCCGAGCTGAGATTTCCGAGCCAAAAACCTATCCGTCGTCCGTATACTCATGATGAATCTATTGTTATATGTCATATGAAATACACGGAGTAATACCATAGTAGCCATGAGTAGCCTTGAGTGAATCTTTAGGTTAAAAGTCTCACCGTCTCCAGTGGAAATCCGTATTGGTGATACGCATCTGCACAATGCCAAACAATCAGCAACCGTCACTCTGGACCTTCACAACCTGGTTACCAACCGACCAACGAAGGCGGAACCAGCGCTGGCTGTCCACCTCTGCAATGAAGGTAAAGGCCAGGGAGTTCATCACGATGTCCTCAGAGCCGTGCAGCGGTTCCGGAGCGGAACCGGCCGGAAGCGCTGGTGGAGGAGGGCGGTTCCGTGGGGGCGCCGGTTGCGGGGCGCCGGTTGCGGTTGGTGGTTAGGTCAGAAATGAGAAGTCCCTGCAGAGAAGATGCCTTTGGTGGTCAAGGATGGTGCTTTGGGAACAAACCTCAGTGCCATGGCCAACAGCTGTGGGCAGTATTGAAGCCACAAACTTGAACAAAGTCCGGGTGACAAGTCCCGGGCGTTGGGGAACGGTCTCAAGTCCAGGGGGTCATCAGCAATTGGCAATCAATGAAAACTTCTTTCATCCTGACCCTGATGTTCTTCCTTGACTAAACATTAAAAAGTGAGTCCACTTTATGTTGAGAGATGTGCTGCTTCTTGAGACTGCTCCTCTATCTCCCCTTGCATGCAAGGTTGGTTGCGACACCCTCAAGCACAACACGTTCGACCCACTCCCCTGCTTTGGCGACAACAAAAGTTCACATGGCACTTCATTTCAGGAATCTCTTTCAGCTCGTCTAGTCGCCTATGAGAAGCAGCATAGCAAGCACTCTGTCTTTTTCACTGCACCAAGCTTCGAACGGCTCGTCAAAGGCACAAATCACCAAGAACGAGACCTGGGAGGCACGTCCATCGGCGCATCAGGCAAGAGTGGTCGGATCCGTGGCATGGTCAGTGGCACGTCCATCGCCGCACAGGTGTGTGGTTCACTGGTCTGTCCTGTAGCCTTCACATGTATGTGATCGTTGGGCACTTGGCATCAACCCAAAAAGGATTTGATCTTCGCCAATAAAGGGGCTGGTGCTCTTCTGCGGCAACGAAAAACCAAGTGGTTGAGGCACCCAGCACATCCAAGCAAGAATCCAAAAAATAGTGGTAAAGGAAAAATAACAGGGTACCAATGCTCGTCTGTATTCGTCTGCACACCCGGTGTTTAGTGGTGTTCACAATTACTTGGAGAAGCAAAGCTCTCTAGTGGAGGTAAGCGTCTTCTGGACCATGATCCATACCCCGCTCAGCTGGAGAAAGGACACAGATTGTTATTGTTGGCCTCACGATGACTGAAACGAGGTGCACCTTCTAAGATTATTTGCTGCTGGTCAAACAGTTGCAGGCAAGGAGCAATGGTGATGCACTGCAACACGACATACCTGGCTGCAAGCACACAACACTCCGTAGTTAGCTTTTTTATCTTAGTGTAACCATATACCGTTCCCCAAGAAGAAGCCATAACACCATAACACAAAAATATTGGTATCCAATAACTTCTGACCAGTTGATTGAATGACAGGTGGGGCCCTCTATTCTGGAGGTCTTGTTCTGCAATACTTCTGGTTTCTGCTACAAGCTATCAGCAGTTGTATATATAATACAGTAGGTTCATGGCAACAAGAACCGAAGTTGACTGGATTGCTGTCTCCATGGACCGGATCGTTGTTCCCCTTCGGAAATCTGGAGGGACCCGCTCCCCAGGCCTTTTGTTTGCCCATCCTGTTCTCCTCGTCAACCAGAACTGCAGCAATGAAAAGTGATTTCGCTGGAGCATGTTTCGGGTTAAACGCGCACCCTGCTGAAGTTGGACCCTGTTGCACAATGCTCCCGCTGTATGTAACATACAAAGAGGCGAAAGGCATTTCGGAAGCATGCCGCTATTTCAAGCAACAAACAAGACCCCAATGTTGCTCGGCAAGTCGTCAGAAGCATTTCAATGTTTCAGAGAAGACTAAGGAGAAA